CGCCCCGATGAGTGTCCCGTAAGTTCCGGTCAAAGTGCGGGCTGGTAAGAGCTAAGTATAGATATCGAGATACTGTGGCTAATCCAATAAACCAGACGCTGCATAGAGGCGCTGCGCACGCAGAACCAGTTGCGTTGTGTATCGGAGGTAGTGCGAGGAAAATCGGTGATTGGCTGTGGCACATGCCCGTAAGCCAGGTATTGTAGTTGCTGCCGTGTATCAGGCTAAGCGAGTGTGACAGCTGCGAGTTGTTTCTTCGAGAGGCTTTTCTTGCACACCTTCGGGGATGAACCGGCTATACAGACCAGTCGATGAGCTGTGCGAAAAATGAAGCCCTTGGCGTTTGCCTTGTCGAGGGTTTCGGCCCCCAGCTGGCTTTTCTTGCATTGAGCCTTATCGGTGTCAGCCTTGGGCAAGCACACCTCTCTCAGAGCCTTCCAGATCCGGCGCTTACACAACCCAACAGATGAAGACCGACCCGATAACAGTATATCTCTCATTGGCTCTGCTGCAGACTGCCGGCTCCCATCTCGCGCGGTAAGATCTGTCTCACCAGTTCGCCTTGGCCTTCGGCTTGAATCTCCCGATCCGGCGCTGACATGGCAAAAGACATGTTCGCACTACTATCTGCATTACACCCAAGTCCGATAAGCGATATTGGAGTAGCTGCACGAAGGCTGTTTTGGTGGGGCGTATTGCAGTGCAGTGGGGCTGAGCAAGTCGGTGTGCTACCCTCTGAAGGTGTGCGATGCCCGGCTGGTAGCGGACTAAACACCGAATTTCGACAACTCTGAGATCTAAGCCCTTACACCGCAATAACCAGACTCAACAATGAGCAAGTTTTCCAATATGTTGTTGCCTCCGAAGGGCGTCAAGGAAGTAATGGATGACGAGGACGAAATCAAGACGTTCGAAGCGTTTAAGACAACCACCGGTGGTGCTTTGCATTCTGCACTTGCTGTGCCCACCCAATACAACCGTCAACGTGGAGAGTGGAGGACTCTACCGAGCAAGTGAGTTTCCAAACGCCGCACCTTAGTGCTCAAACAACGAGAAATCTCATACCTGTGAAGCGAGCTTGAAGCTGTTCTCAAGAAGGCCAGTGCGGTGTTCCCTGGATGCAAAACCGAGAGTTGTACATGGAATGATGTGTTCGAGCGGATTGACGCGATGAAAGAGGCGTACGACGCCAAAGCCCCAAAAGGGTCCTTCCGAAGTTTCATTCGGAACGGCAAAGCAGATGCCACCACACTCAACTCTCTTTGCTTCATAATCCCAGAAGAATATGGCCTTGGTGTCTTACGTGGAGGGCTGTCATTCATCTTCCAGGTACCCTTGCCCTATATATGGAATTTGACGTTAGTTGATCGTCTGTCCAGGCCTGGGAACAACGCATCGAGAACCGAGAGAAAATACTGGAGCTACTGTCAGACGTTGTCGACACTCTTAAAGCGACGGCCGAGATGTACAAGGTATTTCGAGATGACGAACTCAAGGAGAAGACGCGAGATCTCTACGGCGTTATTGTTGATTCTCTGAGATTGCTTACTGAGATGCTGCTTCGGTGTCGCAAAGATGGATCATGTAAGTCTTGCCCTGTCCGATGAAATTCGTCAACCCTTAGCTTCAACAGTCATCCGCCGTATAAAGACACGACTGCCGGATCACGAAGCAGTCGTGTTGGAAGGCCTCGATCATGAGATACAAAACGCCAAGGCCAGGGTGACGAGTCGAATTGACATTCTCAACGCACAAACCCTGCAGAATGTCAGCAAGACGGCTTCTGCTAACAGTATCGAGTTGCACGCAACGCGTTTTCGAGTCCAGGAAGTATCGCATTGTGTTAGGCGTATTGATGGGGAAATGAAAACCCTTAACCGAAGCGTGAAAGAGCTGAAAGAAGACATTAAGCAAGACTTTCAAAGGCTGTTCGAGGGTAACATGTCACAGATGGTCTCCAAGAACGAGGTTGCTGCTACCGTGCAGACTCTTGTGTATAACATGGTCGCGGAAATGGTGTGCCAGACAAGTAAGTCGACTCCATAGGTATGAACCTTGTCACAAACTCATTCATCTCTAGAGCAGCCTCTCAAGCAGATTGTTGGAACCGAGGTCATCGCGGAGGAGCGACGTCTTACCCAGCAGACAATCTTGATGACGATGGAAGAGCTTCTGCGGATGCTCGGCGTAGATCTCGTATACTTGATCCGCGAGACGGAGCATATCTTGAGACAGAGCAACTCTTTGCGACCCAAGGGTCTCGGCAAGGCGCGATGGCTGCTCACGACCGCGCAATTCAAGAACTGGCTAAGTCAGCCGTTGTCCGGAATCCTCCTGGTTGATGGGCATTGCAAAGATGATGGTATCGGAAAGATATCTCCGTTGTCCGTCCTGTGTGCTTCCTTGGCAACCACGCTCGCCCAGACAGGCTCCAGCATGATCCTGCACTTCTTTTGCAGCAGTCATACCAGAGTTGAACAGGACATGATTAGCGGACCATCAGGACTTATACGCAGCCTGATCACCCAGCTACTCCTTTATCCTGACTCACCGGACGTCGAGCTAGACCCATTGGAGCAGAGTCTCTACGACGCAGTATCGCAATATAACGTGCGAGCTTTGGTATCTTTGTTCGGATCGATCGTGGAGAACATGGATGAGTCAAAGACGATCATTTGCATCATAGACGGCATATCCGATTTCGAGACTCCGCTTCGTGGTTGGGATCGAGAAATCCTTGATGTCGTTGATCAGCTTCGAAACCTGGTGCACTGTCAGCGATCTGGTCCAGCGCTGAAGTTGCTCATGACTTGTCCAAACAAAACGCTGCACATTGGGTCGCTAGTGCATCGCGATCATGGGGAATATGTGTCCTTACGGTCAGGCAATGTCAGCGATAGGCCTGTGCGTGGGTTCGGGTTCGACCAAGACGTCCAGAGAATGTTGATGCCAGCATCGCAGCAGAGTAGCTTTTTAGAGCCTGGAGGCTGGGGTGCGCAAGCCAACGCGTCGCAGCGAGGATACGCGCATGTAGGGCGGCCACGCTCTTCAGGAAGCAACGTTCCGGGTGGCTGATGCGCGTTTTGAGTTACTGTGGAGAGATTATCGAATGGTGCCGTGATACTGTAACTTCTCTAGCGAACTACGAGTATGGTCGTACAGACGTACCCCAATGCACGCGATGGGAGGATGACATCGGCATGGTGTTCCGCTCATCTCTCGATGACGCACAAGCGGCCTCCGGCGAAACGTGTTTCCGAAGCGGTCCGGGCGCCGGGCCGCGCGCAACGCAGCAGCGCTTAGCTGTGCCAGCCCTCTGAGCCTTGGGTAGCTGATAGTGAATTGCAGCATTACCTTCAGTCTGACGGCGTTTTTTTGTTCGCGCTCGTCTGAGAATGATCCGATGGTAATGATTATGGGTGGTACTCTGCGCCCAGCCTGACAGCGGCCTGGCTGCTCCGTCTGCCCACGACGTCCGGAGCGCGATCGACCAGTCTGCTTCTCCTCTCTCAAGACCTCGCATCATGGACGACGTCTAGTTTCGCCCTTCAGGTCGATCGGGCGAAATTTTTTGTACCCAGATATGCCATGCAGACCTGGCTTCTCACTGACCATACCGAGTCGTTCTGTTCAACCCGTGGACATAACCACAAGCTGGATCTAGCCAGACTGCCTTTCGCGACAGGCGCCTCCTGCGATTCCCACGGCGAAGAGCACATTGCACGATATCCATCGAACACCCGCACCGAGTTGATAGACGAGACAACAACATGGACGAACAGCAAGGACGGCAAGTCTACATCCTGGCTGAGCGGCATGGTGGGCATGGGAAAGTCTACGATAGCGCGGACCGTCGCTCCGTCGAGTACAGCTCGGAGCAGCTCCTTCTTTAAGAAAGGCAACGCCTCACGGCCTTTGACCACCATCGCCGTATGCCGCTGCGGAGTACTCCATCCGACCAAAGCGGCAGCCGTCGCGGTGGGTGTACACAACATGTGGTATGGAGAGGTAAGGAGTCGAGGCTTGCAGCCCGTGGCGATTGTGGAGCCGCATTGCTACATCATCAGACCAAAGGGATATCTCAAACCTCTCTATTCCGTGCCTCAGCCTTGGGTCACCCTTGCGCCCACAATCACCCATGCATGCGAACCGTCACGTATCGGGTACTGGCATGTTGTATCACGGCAGATGCTGCGATGTGAACTGAACGTCGACGATAGACTCTTTCCTCATCGGTTCCTAGCCTATGGCAACGTGCCCTCTACGCCTTTAAATCTTCAGCCTGGTCCGATTACTATCGCGCTAAATCCAGACCTTACAGGCCGTATCGTGGATATGGGGGAACACCATACTCAACGCCTAACAGGACTCCACCACGCAGTTGGAGCAACGCCACACAAGGCCCTGTCGTGTATCGCTCAACGGTGACCTACCCTTTCAGCCACGCTCTACGCGAGCTGAGATCAAAGGGCAAAGAGCACAAGGCTGTAAATGCAACGGGACACGTGATCGGTGTGGTTCCGCAACATTGCTCTACACAGATCGGTACAATCAATGTGTATTGTATGCAATGTGGCAGCACGCCACTACCGTGGTTGGGCCCCTTACGCTTTTATGAGAATTTGGCACGCGTCCGTGGAGGACTCGGCAGCAAGTCATGTTAATTGTCGATGACGAGTATGTATCTTACATTCAGTTCATTGCAGAGGACGAGTATCGGGCTTCACATCACTATCAGCAGGGCGCCCCTTTTCACCCACCAATGGGTGTTGCACGGCATGTTCAACACCCCCCGTGGATGTGACCTCACTTCCTGACCACCGTCTAGAAGTATAAGGTGCAAACGAACTCGTACCTGACATCACGTATCAACCTCACCCTTCACTTACTCACGTGCATCATAGTATCAATGGACGACTGTTGAGTACTCTCACGACGCCGATAATAGATACCAAGAATTCCGTTCCAATCAAACATAGTAACAACTCTCACAACCACCAATGACCTCACAAAAGACCATCGCCATCATCGGCACCACCGGCTTCCTAGGCCCCTACATCACCGCCTCTCTCCTCCAAAAGCATCCCCACACCACCATCCTCTGCCTAAACCGTAGCAAAGACGCAGAACAACGCACCACCTCGACTCTCACCCACATCAGCAACGAAGACCTAACCCGCCTCACCTTCCTAACAACCGACATCACACTCCCCAACCTCGGTCTACCCCCCACCCAATACACACACTTCGCAACCAGCGTATCGGAAATCGTTTTCAATGCGTGGAACGCGAATTGGGCGACGCCTCTCATCGGCTACCTGCCGCTCCTCAATGCTGTTCAACATGTTATCACCGCATGTATTGCCAGTCCCCTAAACCCGCGTATCGTCTTCATGTCGTCGAATACCTCGATAATGAACCACCCAACCCAGCACCCCAGCACCCCACTCATCCCCGAAGTCCCCGCCTGGGACTTCGCCAGCGCAGCGAACACGGGGTATGGCCAGAGTAAATGTCTCGCGGAGCAACTTCTCGCGCGCGCAGGAAAGGAGCATGGGTTACGCGTGGCTATCATACGCGCAGGCCAGATCGGTGGTGCATCGTCCGCCATACCCAATGCGCCGCAGTGGCCGATTCAGGGTTGGTTATACGTCATATTCAAGACGGCACAAAAGCTGGGGTATTGGCCCGTGAGGATGAATGCAGTGGATTGGATTCCTGTTGATACACTCGCTGAGGGTATCACTAACATCACCTTATCCCAACAAAGCACATCTACAGACAATGTTAAAGTCTACAACCTGATGCACCCCCGTCCCGCGCCTTGGGAGCTGCTGCAAAAAGTGCTGGTGGAGCGATTTGGACTTGAGGTGAGGGAGTGTAGTTTGCCGCAGTGGTTGGGGATGTTGGATCCGAAGACGTTCAAGATGCATGCGTTTTTGATGGAGGCGGGGGAGGGGAGGGAGGGTGAGGCGATGGTATTCAGGAATGAGAATGCGATGGAGGTTTTGCCCGAGGTGGAGGATGTTACCGAGGAGCTTGTGGAGAGGTGGTTGAGGGGGTGGGGTTTGAAGTTGGGGGAGGTGAGGGCGAGGCTTTGAGCGTAGGTTAAGGATGTGTGCGGATGGAAACATGGAATTGGCTTCAACATAGAATTCGAAATTGTCAATTCTTAGCGCTACATATCATGCAACTGCGCTATACGGTCCTGCCGTCAAGTACTCATCGCGTACCATTTACAAAGTCTGCTTGCCTCTCGTCTCAATAGGCAGCACCAACATACTGAAGAATGCCGCAATGAACAGACCACCACTGGCGTAAATCGGCGCCTTGGGGTTACTTCCACCGGCCTGAATAGCAACAATAGGCGCGCAAAGACCAGCAACGCGGTTCAAGAAACTGCTCATTCCAGTACCAGTACCACGGATTGGGGCAGGGAAGACCTCAGGTGTGTACGCGTACAAGACACCGTACATGATGTTCTGGAAGAAAGCCTCGAGACAAGTAAAAGCGAGCTGGAAGTCTGAGTCGGAAGAGATGGTAAAGAGGAAGACGAAGACACCAGTGATGACGGTGGCGATGGCCATTGTGCCCTTGCGGCCGACGTATTTGAGGTCGACGGTGTAGCAGGCGAGGATGGATCCGGGGACTCCGACGATGGCAGTGATGGCGTAGTTACGGTAGACGATGCTGATGTCGTTTTCAACGCCGCCACCCGAGTTCTTGAGGTACTGCGGGAGGAAAGCGTTGAAGAGCGGGTAGGCCATACCAATAGTCGACCATTGAAACCAGAGCAGAGCAGTGGTAAGACCAATCTTCTTGTCCTGGAACAGAGTCCTGAAGCGCTTCATCGAGAAACGGCTAAGGGAGCGCTTCACGATCTCGAAGACGCTGAGCTTGACGTCTTCTCCGGTGACTTCCTGGTCGCCGCCGATTTGGTTGAGAATGTCCTCGGTGAGCCAGGTGTGCGTCTTGTTGTAGTGCGCAATACCGTAGACGGTGGCGACGGCCTCGGCCTGGCGACCGCGAGACAACAGGAACTTGGGCGACTCGTAAAGATGGAAGAGGAAGAAGCGGCAGATGAACATGAAGAATGTGATGGCGCCTAGAGTCAGGATGAGGTATCGCCAGCCCATGTTGTCTTCCATGCGGCATTGTCCGATGGGAGTACCGTCGGCGCATGAGAAGTTGGGAATGAATGCCCACGCCACTGCAGGTCGTTAGTAAATGATGAATATATCCAGCGGTATCGACTTACGGAGCGAAGCAACTAGGTTACCGACGGGCCAGAAGATGGAAAGGAGCGTGAGGAGGTTTCCCGATGTTTGAGGCAAGAATTCGAGGAACAAAGCGCCGTCAACTGGGAGGTTGCCACCGACACCAAGACCGATGCAGGCGTAGAGTGCGCATGTGCCGATCCAGTTGGGCCCGCCGCCGGATGCAAGGCCAAAGACACCAGCGAGGAAAAGAGTAAAGTTGAAAGCGAGACGGCGACCGATAATGTCAGAGGCGGTACCCCAGAAGGAAGCGCCAATGCAGAGACCAAGGAAGAGCGCTAGTGTGGTGTATCTGACTTCCGTCTCGCTGACACCAAACTCAACGCTGAGTTGTGGTAGTGTAAGAGCAACACCCTGTATCTTGGTAAGTCCTGTTGGTTGATGAGGAATTTGAAATGCGCACCTGCAGCCACAAGTTGTCGGCCATCCAACCGCCACCGCAAAGAGCAAAAAGCTGCCATTGATAGCGGCCCATGCCCATATCCTGCAAGGCCTTGTTGATAACCTTGGACTTGCCTGTGGAAGATCAGTACTGTTTCCTCTTGAAAATTACGAGAGGTGATAGGAAAAGCCACACGACGTACGGTCATATGGCGTGTCGTTGTCCGAAGCAGCGACCTCTGCTTCAATCTCTGCCTTCAATGCTGCGACTGTCAAGCCATGGTTAACAACACCACTAGATGCATTACTGTCAGGGCGCGTGAGGCCGTCTTCTGGTTTGTCGTCTTTGGTTTTCTCTGTTGCAGCGAGGGAGGCGCGTGGGTGGGTGGAAGCTACAGAAGCGCGATGGGTCGAGTCATCAAGAGGCACATGGACGCCGGGGAATTCGTCGACATGATGGGCCTTGAAGGGATTCACAAACATAGTTCGGACCATCTTGGCGTAATGATGGTGGTGGTGCCGCGATGGAGGATGGGCGTGGAGTTGTTGCTTGGGGTTGGCGCAATGGTAAGGAGGGGTGCGATAATGGGGCAGTCGCAATTGGGATGGTGCTGTCCAGGGTCGTCCAGTCGTCGATGTCGCTGTAATCTGGTGGCGTTGTCGTTTATGTGTCGAACCGTCACGGCGTATTCACCCAAGCAGGATGCTAAAGGCTTGTGAGGCTTGGAAAAGCTTGTATATTGGATATGGCAAGCTTCCGCGACAGCAGGGTCGCAGGAAATTGATGACAAGAGTTACACGAGCTCGGTCCTGGAGGAGGGTCATGGCCCCTCATATACTCCAGCTCTCCCCGGCGCCGCCCCTGTCAAAAAATCTTTTGGAACGGACAGATGGTGTGGAGTCGTTGGTACGGTGCGCCAAGGTAGCGGCATTAAGGCGCGCCGTGACGTAGTGCTTGGTGGACCAAGCATCAGACCCCATCACGTTCCTCTGCCGTTCACTGCAAAGATCATCCCACGTCGCCTCTGTGGTTCGCTCGATCCTATTTGGCTTGGCCTTAGCTAATACCATCGGTCTGGTAAGCTTTGCAGTCTCTCTTCTTGTGCGTGGGTGCGCCTGCAGCAGCGCGCCTCATGCGCGCAATGACAGAACCTTACACGCTGAGCCCTCGATGAACACAACAGCTCACAGACCGGTGCATCGGTTGACATTGATGGCTACCAGCACAGATCGTCGTTGCTACTGCGACGTTGACCTCTCGTCGCGAGGCTGTTCGCTTGTGGCGGACCCGACGAATTTTGCCGCGTGCCGAAACGCGACTAGACTAAAGACGTGCCGATTACGTTTACTTTCGCAGGCTTCGCACACGCGAAATGGCTAAGAAGACCGGCCTCAAATTATCGCCAGACGTTAATCACACCGACAGTAAGCGGGGTGGCTCGAGTGTTCTCGTTGAATGCCCGGATCAGGCATGACGTCCCAGAGATATCAATCCCAGATGGCGCGGGATGCCTTCGACCCCAACATCGATGGGAGATCGACATTCCCTGAATGCGCGGCCTGCCACTGCTAATCTACTGGAAAGACCGAGACCGAAACGCTCGAATTGCAACGAGAAATCTGCCGTTCACTGTGGCAGGTTGTTGGACCCTTGCCCGGCTCCACACCTGCCAACCACTGCAGTAAGTTCACCGGTCTCCTCCGAATGCAACACTTTCCCTGGCAGCACGTGCCGAGTAGGCGCGAGGGTGGGCCTGCCCCAAAGCAAGTCGCATCGACAACGGGCAATGTCACGCGACATGCTCGATTCAAGGATGCAGGACCTTTCTGTTGACCTCGTATCGCCTCGGTACTGTAGTGTTACCCGAATGTAACCTACGTACCATATTACTTGGCGACAGCAAGATCAAGAATCTTTCGGTTCTTCCCACCATGTATCGCCTGAGTCTAACACCGACTGCATCCCTCGAGCGACATCACCGGCAAAGCTGCAGGACGGCATGCATGTTACTGAGGAATGTTTGCGCACTCTGCGCCTGTTGTCGGCATATTCCTAGTACCAGCCTTACAAAGATACATAAGGTTTGATTCGATCTTTCCATCTCTTCGCTCCAACTACCACAGCTTTGCGTCGAGGCTGCCTTGAGGTGAGATGCGTGTCCATCCCAAATGGCAACGGCGAACGTCGTCGGAAATCGGACGAGGTAGTAGCCCTCCTCATTGATCCGCTCCATCATGGGTCAGCCTTCCTTCGAATGACATGCACCAGCATCTTCCATCAACAGTGCCGTAAACACCACTCAGCAATAGCACGACCATCATTTCTATCATCAGTTACTACCAGATACCAGGATGTGCGGTGCAGAACCTCTCGTCAGCAAGACCAGCGCTGAATCCGTGGATGAATTCTACACGCTACTTGAGGAACGGAAACGTTTTGCAGCATCCCGATCGATCACAACTACACCCAAATGGCCAGCAGCCCGCAATGATCACTATTGTGACCAAGAGGTGTGTCGACACGATGTCATCGACCTTTCTTCTCTATGTGAGCCGTCCGACAGCGATAGCGACTGGGAGCCATACATCACGGGTGTCAAGAAATTCCCCATCATCGGATACGAATCTCCATCGAACAGTGAACAGTCCATCACTGAGAGCTGCCGTCAATACTTCTCTGATGACGCGGATTAGTACGTTGTTGAGGACGTCCAGATCAGGGAAGTGGCCTGCTGACATCATGTAGCATCGTCCGCCTCCGTTACAACACACCGCCCACAGTCTACGATGACCAAGACCACGGAAGCCGTCGGATGTCTGCGATAGACCCTAAATCAAGCATTCGCGCCCTCCGACAAGAACTCGACAACCTACAGATCAGCAGCGCACAGTCTTTTCTTGACCTAGAGGAGCAGCTCGACATGCTCTCCTCGTCATACGGTAGTCTGCGTATGGACTACCAAGCTCTCTCCGACAAACATAACGAACTCCTAGGGCTTTCGTTAAAGCAGTGCAAAGAGCTCGGCAATCACGCCAAGCTCTTGACGGAATTGAGCGACTGGAAAATGCGCACAGAGAACAGCTTTGCTGCGGTACGCGTTCAAGGGCAAGAACCGGAGGTTTTGTATTTCGACACACCACGTTCGACGTCCACTGCGGATATCGGACTGGAAGATCTGAGAGCTACTCCTCTAGAGACGGAGAACCGGGATGTTACATCGACATCGGATGGACGAGACCACGGTGTCGGAGGGATACCGCCATCTCCGACCGTGCCTCCCACGACGCATGAACGACGTGTCTCACATCCGCGCTTGGTCCTGAGACTATCAGCCAAGCCAGTCATGAAGGAGGAAGTCATGGAACCTCCTAGTGCTTCGGTAACAGACGAGCCGCAACGCCCGAAGCGCGTCAGGAGGCCCACGGAGAAGCGCAAGGCCGCT